CCCATCCCATCCCATCCCATCCCATCCCATCCCATCCCATCCCATCCCATCCCATCCCATCCCATCCCATCCCATCCCCCTGTTTGAGCTCCTCGTGGCAGGGCTGTCTGGGGCTCCTGGCTGGGCAGGGGCTCCCTCAGTTTGGTGAAGGATTCAGAGCAATAAAAATCACCATCACAACAGGATGCAGGTGTTTACAAGAACACTTGTGGTGCCTCTTGCATCTGGTTTTTCCCAGCACAAGCCTCCCAGGCACAGGATTTCAGCTCCATGGCTCTACCTGGGGTGCCTTCAACCTTTCCCAGAACAGCTCGAGCCAGGAAATCACCCAGGCATCAATCCAATGTCCCTGCCATGGCAGGGACACATCCCACTGTCCCAAGGACACCTCCCACTGTCCCCATGCGCTCCCAGCCCCAGTGTCCAGCCTGGCCTTGGGCACTGCAGGGATCCAGGGGCAGCCCCAGCTGCTCTGGGCACCCTCACAGAGGAATTTCTGCCAAGTGTCCCATCTAACCCTGCCCTGTAGCAGTTGGAAGTCACTCCCTTTGACCTGTCACTTCAGTTCTTTGTCCCAAGTCCCTCTCAGCTCTCCTCCAGGAGCCCCTGGAGGTTCTGGAGAGGGCTCTAAGGTCTCCCTGGAGTCTCTTCTCCAGGCTGAACAATTCCAATTCTCTCACCTTCCAAAAACACACCCTTGCTATCTCATTGCTGGGCTGTGCTTCTCTGATTCCTGCACACCAATATTGGAATTGCCCCCAGGAGCCAGTCCAGCTCCGTGTGCAGCTCTGGAGTCACCCTGGGGGTCCTGAGGGGAGCAGGCAGGGTGGGCTGTGCTCCCAGCCCTCCATTCCCCCTGCCTGGGGTGAGGGTGCTGCAGAGGTGTTGTGTCAGCACTGGGGCTTGGGGACCCTGCAAAGCCTGGGTTTTCAGGGTATAGGGAAAATTGGGGTTCCCAGGGGTCTCAGAGCTGGTTTTGGTGGGATTTGCCTTGCTGGCGTGCTCCTGCAAGCATGGAGAGGGGACAGCAGGGACCCTGCCCTGGGGGAGGTGGCTGTGCCCTGCTGCAGGGAGGTGGCATCAGGACCCAGTTAATTCTGGAGTGCCTTGTCCCAAATGATGCACAAAACTAGCCTTTATTCTGACTCTGAGTGCATTTGTAACCTTTACATGATTAAATCAGCTCTTTTATTTATCAGGGGAAGCTCAGTCAGGCAGAGCCGCCTGCCAAAAACGTGTGTGACCAAAGCCTTTGCTCAACCTCTGCTGGAGCCCTGGGTCAGCACTGTGCTGTGAGCTGGGTGACCTCTGGGCTCCTGTGTGTAAAGCCAAACACGGGTTTGGAACCAAACAGGCGTCCAAAGGCCACTCGTGCTCTGCTTGCCGGGGTGTTCCAAGCCACTTGTGCCACTGCCCAGCCCAGCTGTGCTCGGGGCTGGCACGGTGCCCTGCTCTCAGCGCAGGTGCCCATCCCGGGGGGGCTGCTGGCATCCCCTGGCACTCTGACATCCCCCAACATCCCCTGGAACCCCAATATTCCCTGGCACCCCAATATCCCCTGGCACCTGCCTTCACCCTGACATCCCCCATCACCCCGACATCCCCATCACCCCGACATCCCCT